TCGCAGGCTCTAGAGCACGGGCTCAGTAGTTGTGGCGCACGGGCTTAGTTGCTCCGCAGCATGTGGGATCTTCCCGGACCAGGGCTTGAACCCGTGTCCCCTGCGTTGGCAGGCGGATCTTAACCACTGCACCACCAGGGAAGCCCTCTGCAGAAGTTAATACCAGAGATTTTGCCCCACATTGTTTCTGAGAACACATGATCTAATCATCTTTCCCGTTACTGCCAGTACTTCCTGCCCTTGTATAGATTAAGAGGCAGCAAGGTGTGGAGGTCTCCAGGGTGCTCAGCAGTGCAGATGCTCTCCAGTGATAACAACCTCTCTGTGTCATAGTCACTCTGATTCTCTTATCATTATGATTAGTGTGCTGCATTCTTAGCTTTCCAGTTTGCTTCCTGTCATTGGTAAGTTAGTCATATGAGGCTAGGAATAATGTTCTTCCATTTTACTTCTTGTAAAAAAAAAAATGCAGAAAACTTAGAGATCTTTATATTCTTTACTTTCTCTGTAGTAATGGAACGGCGGTATCCCAAGGAAGTCCAAGACCTTTATGAAACAATGAGGCGATTTGCAAGGATAGTGGGGCCGGTGGAACATGACAAGTTCATTGAAAGCCATGCATGTAAGTGGTTTTTTAACCCTGAGCAAATATTTGTGTGTGTGTTTTTATAAATAGGAGAGATAGTGGTGTGCTTTATGTGAAGTTCTGTAAATAAACAAGTGGGTTTTTTTTGTATTTCTTCCACTTTATTACTATGAGATTAATTTGGGACTTTTAGGGTGGGAGTAAAGAGCTTAAAAAGCCTAGTGGCTTGTTTTCCCCTCAGATAAACAATAGTTTAGTAGTTTTTCCCCCTTTTTATTATGGGAGTTTTCAAATACATGCAAAAATAGAGATCATAGTATAATGAACCCCCATGTGTCCATCACCCAACTTCAGCAATTATCAACACATGGCCAATCCAGTTTCATCTTTACCACCCACTCCCCTCCCATCCTCAACTGGATTATTTTGAAGCAAATCATATTATTTATTTTTTTTTTTTGCGGTACACGGGCCTCTCACTGTTGCGGCCTCTCCCGTTGCGGAGCACAGGCTCCAGATGCTCAGGCTCAGCGGCCATGGCTCACGGGCCCAGCCGCTCCGCGGCATGTGGGATCTTCCCGGACCGGGGCACGAACCCGTGTACCCTGCATCGGCAGGCGGACTCTCAACCACTGCGCCACCAGGGAAGCCCTTGAAGCAAATCATATTATTTTGTTCATATTTATTTTAGTATTAAAACTAGTTTTTTAAGTGGGGACAGAGTTGGATGACTCATCGAGATAGTATATAGTACTTCCATCCTTTTCTTGCCTTTTTCCCTGAGAGAGCTCTATCTCGTTACCATTTGATTTCTCACTGTAAAAAATTGAAGGTGTTAAGGCAGTAAGGCCTAGACTATAAAACAGTCTGGACTGGGGGACTAAGTCTATACCTTTACTCATGAGAGTCAGGTGTTTGACCCCCAAGTTTAGTTCTGGAAAGGTACTTCATGAAGGCTCTTATCGTGTACTCATCATGCAGACATTTCTTGCATGACATTGTAGGCATGTATCTGAGCCAGGTTGGTTGTCCTCACCAGACACCCTGTTTGGTTGGCATTCTTTGTGTGATTTATCCTGGGTGATTTATCCTTCACTTCCTGTCCCAGTTTGTGCCATCCCTGGTTTATGTGTCACTCCAAAGAACAACACCCCATGGATTGTCCAGGTTCTTCCTTCATCCTCTGTTTCAAAGCACCCAAATTTGAATGTTCTATCACATAATAACCCAAGCAGTGCAACCTGATCTATGTGCTCAGAGGAGGCAGAAATCTTTGATTTATGGAAAACACAATGCTCTTTTGTTCCTATAGGAGAAAAGCTGTAAAGAAACTATCCGGGACTTGAAGCCCAGAGCTTTTGTCCTTCCCTTGCTTTTGTCCTTCCCTTGCAAAAGGGCCACATCAAGTAATACCAGAGACAGGTTTCATAAAAGAATTTGGTTTTGTGACTAGAACTTCTAACAGAGAATAAATAGAGCAGGGAAACTTGGTGGTTTAAAAAATTATATTCATTACCTCTGTAGCTAAATGAATTCAACCAGTTCACTATAAGTTTTCTAGGAAGCAGCTGGAGACAGAAGCCAAAAGACAGCTGGAGTACATTTTTGTCAGCTCATGGGTAAAATTTCTAATGAGATATTAGCAACGATTAGGATTCCCCAGATGGAATTGCCCAGTCTTTTATAGAAGGCAGAATTAACTGAAAATATTCAACAGTAAAAGTGCTCATTAATGTTGATTTTGTTTTTCCAATTTTTCTCCTTTGTTGTTTTCGGGGGGATAAACAGTGGAATTCGAACTCCGAAGGGAAATCAAGAGGCTCCAGGAATACAGGACAGCAGGCATTACCAATTTTTGTAGTAAGTATGCTTAAGCTACACACTAAATCAGAGGGCAAGTCTTCCAAACACATAGAGGGTGTCTCTGTTTGAGGTGCCATGGAGTTTTTTTTTTTAAACAAGCTTTCACATTTCAGAATGAGTTTTCAATCTTTCCCATAAAGTTTCACCTATTTAATCCTTATAAAATACCATTATATGGATTATCTCAGGTGAAATAAAAGTTATGGCACAGAGAAAAGAGAGGTGCTGTTTTAGATTTAGGATTCCGTTGTGGCCTCTGAAAAAAAGGATTTTGTATTCCAATTTTTAGCCTCAGCCTTTTAAATTTAGTGATGCATAGTCTGATCATTCTTATTAAGGGAGCTTCAACGGGTTCTAGGTGCCTGCATCCCAGTTACTTGAGGTAGTGATAATTATATTCATAGCAGCTAACAGTTTACCATGCACCAGGCCCTACCCTGTGTACTTCACCTGGATTGTGTCATTTAATTTTTGTAACAAAGTTATTGTCATTTTCATTTAATGGAGAGACTAAAGTCTAAAGTGATTAAGGAGCTAGTTGTAGTAGAGCCAGGTCATAAGGGAAGGTAGTGTGTGTTAGTAGTTAAGAGCTGAGGCCTAGACTTGGACAGCTTGAGTTTGAATTCTGGCTGTTCTTTCACCAGATCTATAATTCTGTTCATTTCAATTTTCCAAGTCCCTTAGAGTTAGTATGAAGATTAAATTAGAGGGACTTCCCTGGTGGTCCAGCAGTTAAGACTCCATGCTCCCAGTGCAGGGCACCAGAGTTCGATCCCGGGTCAGGGAACTAGATCCCGCATGCCACAGCTAAAGATCCCGCGTGCCGCAACTAAGACCTGGTGCAGCCAAATAAATAAATGATTTTTTTTTTTTAAAAAGAAGATTAAGTTAGAGATAATGCATGAAAACATAGCACGATACCTGGCACACAGTAAATCCTCAGTAAATGGCAGTTTCTGTCATGTTGTTGTTATTGTTGGAATGATCTTCGGCATTTCCTCCTTCTTGCTGTTGGTTGAAAGCTATCACCCACTGCTCACAAGAAGTAGCCCTGTGGGTATAAGTTCAGCCCACTGTAATGGCTCTTTATTTCTAACAATGGAAACAGTTTACAAAATGAAATTTTATGTGGGGCACTAATCCATAAATAAGATAAAAGTAGAACTACTTTGCTTGAAGTCAGATGGTTCAGGTCATGTGTGGAGCACAGGACCACTGGTATGTGCTGGTGCCCTTGCTCTTCCCCGTAATCCCTGAGATATTTTCGTGGTATCCTGGGCCTCTGTGGAACACGGTTTGAAACCCACTGGTGTGATATTTTGGATCCTGTATACATTTGTAACATGTGGAAAAAACTCTGCAACTGTTTATCAAGATGCGTGTAAAGACTCTGATACCAGGTTTGGGTTACCTGATACTGCTTGCCTCTGGGAAAGAGGGGAAAGGAATAGTACTGGTCAATGAGGATTTATTTTTATTTGTAATTCTAACTGATTTTTAAGGAAGAGTGTATGTGTATAGCACTTGTGTGACTTGGAAAAATATATGGATAGAAAAATATAGAACAGGAAGTAAATAGGACAATATTAAAAGCTACTTTTAGGGGGTGGAAATATGAGGGACTCCTTGTAATTTTCTGTTTTGGGGATTTTTTCCCCCAAATGTCTTAAAGGTAGAAAAGGAATAAAAATATTTTTATTTCTTGTCAAAAAAAGGGATTTCAAACTAGGGGAAATGACTTTGCTCTTAGCAGTTTTGCAAAGGAAATTTAAAAATGACTGGGAATTCCCTGGTGGTCCAGTGGTTAGGACTCGGCGCTTTCACTGTGTGGGCCTGGAGTTCAGTCCCTGGTTGGGGAACTAAGATCCCACAAGCCTCACGGCACGGCCAAAAAATTTTTTAAATTAAAGATTAAAAAAGATGAAGTTTGCTGATGAGTTAGGAAACCCTTTGGTTACTTCTGCTGCGTTGTCATTGTAGTCGCAGTGTTTTTTAATACCTCCAGGTGCCAGAACCTATGATCACCTCAAGAAGACTCGAGAAGAGGAACGCCTCAAACGCACTATGCTCTCGGAGGTTCTCCAGTACATCCAGGACAGTAGCGCCTGCCAGCAGTGGCTCCGCCGGCAGGCTGACATGTGAGGAATTACTCCGGGGGGAAGGAGCAACTTCTTGGAGGATTTGGCCTTTACCTGTATTTTCAGAGAATTCTGTGGGCACACTATCCTATATGGCAGGGCAGTAATAATTGGGTGACTAGAAGAATTCAGAAAATTTTAGCAGGCTGTCTCAGAAACAGTACCACACTGGGCTTCCCTGGTGGCGCAGTGGTTGAGAGTCCGCCTGCCGATGCAGGGGATGCGGATTCATGCCCCGGTCCGGGAAGATCCCACATGCCACGGAGCGGCTGGGCCCGTGAGGCATGGCCGCTGAGCCTGCGCGTCCAGAGCCTGTGCTCCGCAACGGGAGAGGCCACAACAGTGAGAGGCCCGCGTACCACGAAAAAAAAAAGGAACCGTACCATACTGACGGTTTTGAGAAACATAACTGGCCTCCTAGAATCCTACTTTGCTACTTTGACCTTATTTTTTTTAATTAGTAAATTCCCTCCGCATGCTTTCTTTCTCCCTCTGTTTCTATTGGTATGATTTTCATTGGAGAATCATGTTCCTCTCCTTTCCCCATGAATGGTCATTGTGATGTGCCAGGCCAAGAACTCTTCTTAACAAATCCAAGCAATTTCCTTCTCTGGAACAGATTTCCTTTCCTAGGTAGTACAGTTGGGATATCCTGTAAAACATAATACAGTCTGTCTCATTACTTCTCTTCAAAGTAACTGACCTGATAAGTGTCACCCAGTCTCACATGGGCTTTTGGAAATGGCTTTCTTTGATGTGATATAAGTTTAAATTCCTCTTCTTCTTTGTAGTGATTCTGGCCTGAGTCCTTCCGTACCAATGGCTTCGAATTCAGGTAATTATTTTTTAGGCTGGAGCAGGTCTTGATTGTGAAGTTTTCATTCTAGGAATTATGGTAACCCAGCAATCCCTTCAGCCTGTGTGGGAGCTGGGTGCTTAGGCAGAGGAATGGTAATTAAGTGTTATCCCAATTTATAAACATAAGCAAGTTTTTAGAATATTCATGGCCAAACAGGACTTTCCTCAGGTTTGGAGTACAAAGGGGAAGAAAGAACTCCAGACAGGTGTTTTCTCTATTTTATCAATGTTCATGGGCAGTTAGTTTACTATGACGCTGTCTACCACAATCTTTGAGATTTGTCTCATAGGGGATAATTAGAGGCTTTGTATCCTATATGAGCAAAGAAACATGTTACTTGCCAGAAAAGCAAGACTTTCTTTATAAGTTGGAGACTTCAGGTATTTCTATTTCTTATCTCTTTGGGTATTTCGTCTTTTGAGGTTAGTTTACAGAGTAAGATTAAGCCATATGCTATCTGGTAATCCTTGGTTCTTGGTAATCAGTGAATGGTAGTTTGGGGTGGTATTAGTTGTAAAACTGTGGTCCAAGATCATGGTGTTTCTTTGCCTGTTTTCTTGGTTATCATTCACCCCTGCTCCATATGGTAGATTAGCCACCTCCCCTGGTCAGAACATACAGGCTGCTCCACTGATTACAGATTGAACTTGGCAAAAAGATGACCCACTTGCAGTTTTACCATTTTTTGGAAGCTTGGAACAACAGACCTTGTGATCCCATTCACAATCTCTCAGATTCAGGATCTAGACAGGGCTCAGAAAAGGCGACTTTATGGATGATAATTTTTTTTTCATTTTTTCCTTTGTTTCAAGTAATAATTTCTTAATATTTAAAGGAGAAAAGCGTGTCTTTTAGGGAATAGCCAAGACAGTTAAATCCAAGTTTTTAAGTTTCTTACATCCAACCCCTCCCCAATCTAAATACAGAAGTACAAATAACTTAATATTGGCTAATTAAAATGAATGAATGGACGTGACCAAGCTCCTCTGGTATTTGTGTTTTCTGAACCATTCGCACTTACTCTTTGCTGCGTCCTAGGCGGGCATCTGCCTTCCTCATGCCCTGTGTTTAGGTTGAGGCGACCCCTTACTCCTCTTCATGCTCTGAGTTGCTCCTAAAGTAGTGCAGAGCTGGAAGCCTGGATCCCTGATCGTAACCCAGCCTCTGGGAACTTTGCTGAGGCACCAAATGATTGTAGTCTCCCTTTTTGAGCATTTAGGGTACGGCTAGGCCTGTCAGTTATGGAGAAGTCCTCATCCCCTTTGTTGATATCACAGAGAAGTCTGTTTTGTAGTACAGCAGGCTGCAACAGTCCATCCCCTTTCTCTCCACCACCTAAACGGCAACCCCCATGAAATGTAACGTATTGTTCTGAATTTTCTTTTGTTTAACACAGTCCATTCATTCAAGTATACATTCAGAACAAAACCAAAAGGTTTTGCACATCAGGCTTCCTATCCTGGGCAGTGACCTCATGCTTGGGTTTCTTTCTCAGGTATGTGAGTTCACTTCAGCCTCTACTTTGCCATATAGTGGCTCATTCCTCTGTTCAGATCTTTCAGGTAAACAGGGCTACTTTGGAAGGAACAGATATTCCCTCACGTAATAAATAAAGGCCTTTTGCTGGCCTAACACTCTGCCTTTGATCTCAAGGCGAATGGTACGTGGTTAATTACCATGTTTGCCTTGCACTGCCGGCAGGGCGGCAAGGGTTAGGAAATGTCTCTCGCGCAGAGTTGTTATTTCCATTCATCAGCTGTCAAGATAGGCAGCGTATGACCTTTCTTAACTGGACGACATCTGGGCTGTAGATTTTAGAATCTCCTACTGGTTTAGGAAGAATAGCCATATTTGACACTGAGGTATGTGTGATTATATGTGTATTTTATCAGAGCAGAGGGCACATGGCTTACCGTTATTTTCAAGTGAACATTGGGGTACCTGTGTTGCCAGATAAACTAAGGCCTGAGGAGTATATATACAGCTCTGTATAGTAATCTTGTACCTAACTGGCCTGACTGTGGTGAACTTTGTTATACACTTTACACCTGAGGGACTGTCACTCTTATGAAATATATGCCTTTTTCTGTCTATATCTGTAGGTAGACGAAGTGCACCACCCTTGAACCTCACTGGCCTCCCTGGCACAGAGAAGTTGAATGAAAAAGAAAAGGAGGTAACAAAAAGAAGGGGAGCTGGTTAGAAGAAAGAGAGTAGGGACTGGTTATTCATTGAGTTGTCATTAAAAACATGTTATAGGATCAAACCCGTTTTGCTCTGTTCATGTCACACACGTGTGTGTACAGCTCTAGTCCATCCCAGAGGTCTGGGTGCTAAAGAGCTGACCTCAGCAGGTCTCAAGGACTCCTTTCCTTATCACCCAGCCACCATTCATCTCCTGAGAGGAGAACTTATGAGATGTAAATCTAAATAATAGCAACTATCATTTATTGAGCGTTTACCATGTACTAGATACTGTACTGTGCTTTATGTCAATGAATTTAATTTTTTTCAAACTTAAAATAACTGGTATATGAAAATGATTATTTCCTATTAGAGTGGGCATTTTCAGAAGTTCTACTGTTATTCCAGCAATATGACCATCACTTAAAAGATTTTTGAATTATCTCCATAGTATGTGTATAAGCATAAAAGAGGAATTCATCATCATATATAGTCACACATTAATTTTGATTAAAAAAGCCATGACCTACTTTCCTTTTACATTATAATCACCGGATGTGTTTTCTTCATATTACTTTTGGCCATTTCTAAACTTTAAATCCAGCATCAAAAGGGTCATCATCAAGCGTTTTCAAAAGAATGTGCCGCAGCTCTCAAGTCCATTCCAAGAGAGGATCCTCTTTTGTTCCTCGTGTGCTCCTTTTACGGTTCCCAAGATCAGTGTCTTCATCTGCCACTCTGTATCAGTAATTCAGGTCAGACAGTAAGGAAAAGTCATGGAGTAGGCGCTAGTATTAGTCTTTTATTTTACGCAGTAGGAACAGTAAAGATTAGTTTGGGAGTAGAAGGAGGTGTATGTTATATCCAAGTATCGCTGAAGAAGTATTGCCATTCTGAATCAAGGGTGGAATGGCCTGGAGTTTCAAGCAGTTTTTATCCTTACCCACAAAGTGGTAACCTCAGGCTGTTCATTTCTGGATAATGGCAGGTGAACTGGAATCGAGCCAGGTTTCTAGATTTTTAGCAGTTAAAGTGACCTCTTAGCAAGGTCTCTATATCTCTTCTCCCTCCAAAGTAGGAAATGTAATCACAAAATCAGGGACTAAAGATTTACGCCGATACTAAAAATAATGCGATTCATACTTGGGAACCCAAGTATCAGCAGCCCCACCCGCACAGTGCCCTGTGGCTCCTCCCTGACTGGCTGAGCTGGAAGGTGCCCAGCCTGTACTCCACACCGCTCCCCAGGACACAGACTTGTATCCCTGACAAACCCAGGTGAGCCAGCCGATAGGTGCTGGAGCTCTCCTGGCATCACACTCTGCCTTTTTCTGTCTGTGTTTAGAGAGTATTCTCTCCAAAGAAAAGACAAACTGGAATGTGATCTAGCCACCAGCAGCTCCTATAAATAGTTGGAGGTTGATGTCACTCTTTAAATTTTATTTTGGCTATACCTGCTGGATTAAATTATGAGAATGACAGATGTTAATGTTTATTAAATTTGCCATGTCTTGCAGCTCTGTCAGATGGTGAGATTGGTCCCAGGAGCCTATTTAGAATACAAATCTGCTCTATTGAACGAATGTAACAAGCAAGGAGGCTTGAGACTGGCACAGGCAAGAGCACTCATCAAGATAGACGTGAACAAAACCCGGAAAATCTATGATTTCCTCATCCGAGAAGGATACATCACTAAAGCCTGAGGCTCTCCGGGCCTGGTGGGCCAAAGGACAGTACGGGCATTGTGGAGTTTTGTTTTTGAGCTGAATTCTCCTTGTAAGAAGAGGGGAAGAACAAAGGAAACCTTAAGTTGTATTAATGTCTACTTTCTTCTCCACCCGGCTTTAAAATACTCCTGTTGTTGGTATTGTGCTGCAGAGTTATGTGCTAGATAAGCTATTATTAATTGTGTGTGGGCATTCATTCCTAACACCTCTTGTAACTAAAACAAGAACCATAGTACCTCACAACACAGTGTTGGTAGAAATAGAACTAAACCAGTCTTTAGTCCCAGGAGTCCAGCTCAGATCCTTGTACTTGCTTGGGAGGTTGGTTTTCTGATTATCTGTTTTGCCTTCAAACATTACAGACAGATTTAAAATAAAGAGGTTATAGAGAGAGAAAGCTTTCTCTTTCTGTCTGAGGATTCTTTTAAGCTGACAACTTATGTTTACGAGCAAAGAGGAGGAAAATCTCCCCATGACGGTCTTGTCCCAAACTGCATCTTCAACCTTAAGGTCTGGCTTTGTAAGTTGCAGTCTGGCTGTCTAATCTGCAGTAGACTTTCGAGGAGGTGGCACTGGATATAAAATGTCTCTGTTATTTTTAGAATTAATGGATTAAAATGTTTTGCTACTTAATTTGTGGGTGTGTCAAATATTCTGGTAACTAAAGCACACTTAGGGGGTTGGATGCACGCCTTATCACGCTGCATTGTCTCTGCTAACATGTGTGTCCTGGGCTCACCCTATTCTCACCCTTGGCTTCCCTGGATACCAGACCCCTGAGGATGGAGGTGATGCAGTTAACCTCAGTGTTGCTTAGATTAAGACCTGAACCCTAATTTCTCAATGGTGAAAGGCTAGCCTACAATAAGAGCTACTTGTAAAACAAAAGGAAAGCCTTTTCATATATGGAACTCACTAGATATGAGGGTGAGTGACCCCACCACATCTGAAACTTGGTCCTCAAATCTTTCTGCACAATAAGAAGCCAAACTCAGAGTCAGGGTTTTCCCTTTTCTGTTAGAAGCAAAGTTGTATAGAAATACTTCAGAATCTGCACAAATTACCTCCAGTACCTGACTGATTTCTTTAATTCTTTCAACGTTCAAAATATCTCATTCAAATATTATATGCTTTGTTGGAAGTATCTGCTCAAACTTCTTGACTGCTGTAAATATGCATGCAGTTTGCTAATAGACTTCATCTAGGGGATAACATGAAAAGGAAACTCTTAGGATCTGAGGGAAATAGAATAAAGGACTTCAGTGTTTCAAAAGGGCGGCTTGTGGTCTTCTTGATACAGTCCTGTCTCTTAGAAAACGTATTCTACCACCAGCATCACCCTGAGTTGCTTATAAAGGCGTTGCCTCTTATCCTTGGAAGGCAAGTCCCGTTCTAAAAGTGCATTAGACATCTGTGTCAGGTGATGTCTGCTGTAGTCTAAGGAGTCCTTGATCTTGATTAAGGAAGGCTTCCTGGGAGAGGTGCACTTCTGAGGCAATGATAAGACGGAGATGAGAGAAATAAAATGGCAGATGGAAGTGGGAGACTGTTCCAGACGTAGTAGGTGGAGGGTGATGAGTAAGGAAAACAGTGCCAAGAGATTTAGCTGGCTAGTACACAAGGAGCAGCTGTGGTGCTTAGGGCTGGGAGGATGGCAGGACAGTCTGATAGAAACCCTGGAACCAGTTGAAGTCTGAAAAACTGGCGAATCAGTAGATTGGATGAAGAAAGTGGCATTGTTGAAAAGAGTGACAGAAAAATAAGGCTGTAATTTCAAATGACTGGATTTTAGAAAGTAGGATTACTATGGTTTCGGTAAGCCCAACTTCACAAAATTTAAGACCTAGAGTCCTAGTGGGTCTCTCACAGATCAAGCCATAATTTTGGGTGAGGAGTACTCTTGAAAGGCGTCATTAGAAAAGCACTTGCTGACGTTTGATGTCGATCACTAGCTTAGTACATTATTTCCTTCCATCTTCTTGTCACCAAAGGAAGGCCCTTCTTGTTACTAAAAATCCAGAGCTAGCAAGGACGTTCCAAAGAATATTCCATCCTTCCCCTTTTCAGCTAGATGGGATTGGCCATAAACCAACTCCACTAATTTAGGTCCTTGGTGCAGATCATCTCAGAAGAAAGAGAGTTTACTCTGAAACTCAACAACAATGAACTATGAAATAAAGACCTTTAACTGCTAGGAACTTTATTACAATTTAAAGATTTCTGCTGGAATTTTTTTTTTTTTTTTTTTTTTTTTTTTTTGCGGTATGCGGGCCTCTCACTGCTGTGGCCTCTCCTGTTGCGGAGCACAGGCTCCAGACACGCAGGCTCAGCGGCCATGGCTCACAGGCCCAGCCGCTCCGTGGCATGTGGGATCTTCCCGGACCGGGGCACGAACCCATGTCCCCTGCATCGGCAGGCGGACTCTCAACCACTGCGCCACCAGGGAAGCCCTCGGCTGGAATTTTATGCATATCGTTCTCCTCTGTCCTGGTGGGGAATAGAGAACAAATTTCTTTACGTGTAATGACCCTTTCTTGGGCTTCCCTGGTGGCACAGTGGTTAAGAATCTGCCTACCAATGCAGGGGACACAGGTTTGAGCCATGGTCCAGGAAGATCCCGCGTGCTGTGGAGCAGCTAAGCCCGTGCGCCACACTACTGAGCCTGAGCCCTAGACCCGCGAGCCACAACTACTGAAGCCCACACACCTAGAGCCCGTGCTCCGCAACAAGAGAAGCCACTGCAGTGAGAAGCCAGCGCACCGCAACAAAGAGTAGCCCCTGCTCACCACAACTAGAGAAAAGCCCATGCGCAGCAACGAAGACCCAAGGCAGCCGTAAATAAATAAATAAATTTATAATGATCCTTTCTTGTGCTCAAAGACTTCAACTGTCTCTATTGAGACCAACTATTTATGATTTATCTCTTCTTGGGTTCCAGTTTTCATCCTTTTATTGTTTACGACTCCCCCCACCCTAACCCCCCTTTTTAAATCTGAACTTAATTAACCAGTCGCTGCTGAGTGATAACAAGTTTCCCAGTTTTGAGTATTGAGATCCTCAGCTTGTAGTTAGCAGGAAAGGGGAGAAGACCAATGACATTCATCAATAACAAAGTTCTAGTTGGGAAGTCATCCCAGCGTTAGGAAATATGTAGGTATGTGATAAGAACTAAAATGTCCAGTGTGATGAGTCAGAGGCCCAAACTACAAAGAGAAGCTTGGAAAAACTAATTCATATTTACTCCAAAACACTTCGACGGGTCTCCAGCCAGGAGAGCAGTACTGTGTTCTAAACAGCATTCTGGAATATTGCCCTTTTTTTTTTTTTAACATCCATATTGCAGTATAATTGCTTTACGATGGTGTGTTTGTTAGTTTCTGCTTTATAACAAAGTGAATCAGCTATACATATACATATATCCCCCTATCCCCTCCCTCGTGCGTGTCCCTCCCACCCTCCCTATCCCACCCCTCTATGTGGTCACAAAGCACTAAGCTGATCTCCCTGTGCTATGTGGCTGCTTCCCACTAGCTAGCTATTTTACCTTTGGTAGTGTATATATGTCCATGCCACTCTCTCACTTCATCCCAGCTTCTCCTTCCCCGTCCCCGTGTCCTCAAGTCCATTCTCTACATCTGCGTCTTTATTCCTGTCCTGCCCCTAGGTTCTTCAGAACCTTTTTTTTTTAAGATTCCATATATATGTGTTAGCATACGGTATTTGTTTTTCTCTTTCTGACTTACTTCACTCTGTATGACAGACTCTCGGTCCATCCACCTCACTACAAATACCTCAATTTCGTTTCTTTTTATGGCTGAGTAACATTCCATTGTATATATGTGCCACATCTTTTTTATCCATTCATCTATCAATGGACACTTAGGTTGCTTCCGTGTCCTGGCTATTGTAAGGAGAGCTGCAGTGAACATTGTGGTGCAGGACTCTTTTTGAATTATGGTTTTCTCAGGGTATATGCCCAGTAGTGGGATTGCTGGGTATATGGTAGTTCTATTTTTAGTTTTTTAAGGAACCTCCATACTGTTCTCCATAGTGGCTGTATCAATTTACATTCCCATCAACAGTGCAAGAGGGTTCCCTTTTCTCCACACCCTCTCCAGCATTTATTGTTTGTAGATTTTTTGATGACTTGCCCATTCATTTTTAAAGATGTCTTTATAGATACCTTCTAGATATACACTGTTATTGTTAACACAAAAAGCTTTTCCACAACTTACATGTACCTGGCTTTTTATTTGTTTGAATTACTATTCCAGAGGTACTGATCTGGAAGCTTTGCTTTCCTTTCCAATGTGTTTAGCCAAATGCGGGTAACCTCTGTCCGATCTGTCAGAAAGGACCACCTCTGGTACAATGGGACGCTGCTGCGTCTGTGGCCCTGTGTAGAAGAGGTGGTCCAGCTAAGATAAAGAATTTCCCTTCAATCAGGCACAATAACCAGCCCTCTTAGTGAAATGTAAGTGATATTGAGCAGGATCTCAGGGCGCAAGGAGAGTCAGAGCAGCCTGGTTAGAATAGTAATGGTCGTGCTGACAAATACTTGCTTTGGGAGAGATAACAATAGTGAATAGCACTCAACTAGGGAATATTTTGGAACCTAAGTATCCACAAAATACGCATTGGCACTGAGTGTTCATTTGTATGCTGCTTTTGAGGGCTAGGGGGTGGGGACAGGTGAATCATTTCTGAGAAGCTTGGAAAGCCAGTTTATCTAATGGGAGGGAGTTCTTTATCTATTCATTGTTTGCCTGCTGCCTTGGCTTCTACCAGTTGAGATGCACTGAGATTAACTGCCGTTTGATTTGACGGCAGGCTTACAAGTCAAGAGACATAGGTATTTAAAGGAAGGATGAATGTCTTGCATCTGACATTAAAATTCCTTTGTCGGGCTTCCCTGGTGGCACAGTGGTTGAGAGTCTGCCTGCCGATGCAGGGGACACGGGTTCGTGCCCCGGTCCGGGAAGATCCCATATGCCGCGGAGCGGCTGGGCCCATGAGCCATGGCCGCTGAGCCTGCGCATCTGGAGCCTGTGCTCCGCAAGGGGAGAGGCCACAACAGTGAGAGGCCCGCATACCGCAAAAAAAAAAAAAAAATTCCTTTGTCACTAGGAGTTACTTGCTTGGTATGCGTTGTGTGCTGGGCCCCCTTCCCAGTTAAGAGTAAGAATAAGGAAATTGAGATAAAATGAGATTTCTGAATGCAGAAAGGGACCATTAAAAGGTTTAAAACCCCAAATTGAAAGCTACAAAAAATTTGATTTGATAGATGCAGCCCTGAATATTGCCGTACGTCCCCTTGCCTTTGAAAGCCCTAGTTAACCTTTGCCAGCCCAGATTTGTTTTGTGTCTTTCAGGACTGGAGAATTAAGTCTGATGCACTTATTTTCTACTTTGGAGCACAGGGGATGGATTTCTGTGGCACCAAACTAATCATTTGGTTGAATTAATCTCACGTTCCTAACCAAGCCACACTTTTTTTTCAGCTTTCTCTGGTCTCCCCAGAGGTCTTATGTGGCAGAAAGCTTCCAGGTAGCTTGCTAATAACCTTGCCTTGGTCCAGAGTTATGTGGAACAGAAGTAGCATCTTAGGAAGTGTGGAAAGGAGAAGACCTCAC